GGTGCCGTCCGTCATTCATTTTCACGATGTCCTCAAACATCTGCAAAAGATCATCAGGAGAGCTGCTTCTCTGAAGACTAAAGTGTCTGTTTGCACATTTCTGAATGATTGTCTGTAGGATGTCACTGGTTTCTGTGGTTTCTTGTGTTGTGAGCACCATGGTGTGTTGATAAACGCGCTCAGAGAGAGAGTGCAGCACCTTCTCCACGCGCTCCTGATCTTCTGCTGAACACGGCTCATGTTTGAGGAGCAGCACGATCACATGAGGTCCTGGATCAGACAGAAACACACACTCTCTCACAGTCTGTATGAGCTGATGATCTGAGATGTTCGTCTGGAGCAGCTGAGGACTGTTGATGATGATCAGGTGTCTGTCCTTCAGTCTTCCTCCGACTCTCTCTACAACATCTGGAGGAGCTTCACTGTCAAACGCTGCTCTTCCTAAGATGAAGTTTCCCACCAGACTGTTTTCTGACACGCTCGAACCCAGAAGAACTATCCTCACTGCAAACAGTCAAATCAGACTTTCAGAGTTACATCTAATGATGTCAAGATCTGAATTAAATCCAACATCACAGATTGAAACGATCAGAATCCACCGGTAGAAGTTTGCATTTATCATTATAGTTTCCACACACTCTTCATCACTTCATGTGTTAATGTAGGTACAGACTTACTGTCAGGAGGTAGGTCTTTGCTCGGTCTTCTCCTGCGAGGAGGATTGTGGGCAACAATCACTGTATGAAACAAAAGTCTTACATTATATTTGACTCTTTCATCACAGTAACACAAACCGACAGAAATTAGCATCTTTGAATGATTCTTACAAACAACAATGTTATTCAAAGTGAAAGTGAGATTCTGTCAAATCACTAAAATAATGAAAATAATTATTTATGTCAATTTTCACTGAATAAGCAGTGAAGAAAATGTATTTTCCTCAGAAGTTATGTATAATCTAGTATTTCTGTCTACACATAATCTGTATCTGCATGTAAATGAAAGTGCTTCTACAGAATTGAAGTATTCTTGAAGACTCATTTGAAGCTTTCAGTGATTGTCACCTGTGGTATGGTTGGTTGACATGTTGATATTCTGTTTCCTCCTCCGTCTCTTTCGTCTGTCTTCAGCTGATGATCTTCTCGGTCTCCTGACGTCTGTCTCTTCATCGTCCTGTAAGAGATGTTAGTGCTTCTCAAACAGTAACACAATCTCTGTTCATTTATCCAGACTGTGTGAAGCTCCGTCACTGTTCTGCCTGTAGTTTTCTATTAAATAAATAAATACATTAAACTGGAACACCATACATACATGTATATATGTATGCATGTGTGTATGTAGGCCTATATATACAGTATATGTATATACATACATACGCACAAACACACACACATATGTATGTATGTATGTATGTATATATATATATATATATACCGCCTAAGTGTATTGTAGCAGCAAATTTAAACCGGAGAAAGCTTTGACGCGCTATAGCGGCGCTTGATGCGTAAGAGACCGTCTGACAATGCCACCGATTGTGTTTAAAACGTCCAATGTATTTTAACCAGTGGCGTAACTTTGCTTTGAAAAGTGGTGGGGACACCACTCAACTCGTTTTGCTAGTTTTTTATTTAATAACCTAATTTGGGGACTGGGTTTAGAGTTGAACAAACTTAATTTTTGCTTTTCAAAAATACATGGATATACCAGAGGCGGTGCCAGAGAATTTTGAACGCAGGTAGATCATTGACAGAGGGAGCTGGACAGTTCAGGGCTCCAGACTCATTCTTCCCACTGGTCGCTCTTTTGGGATTAACTTTCTCAGTTGGCTGCACAAGCACGTTTTTTTTTTTTTTTTGCGCTACAACATGCTGTTAATCAATGCACGCTGATGAACTTTTATGGTAGTTTATAGTTATATGGAAACGAAAGTAGTTAACATTCAACCCGTTCTTCACCTTTTTCATCAGTAGTATTATTTGTGATTTGAATTTTGTGAACGCAAGCCCCTCTTTTGACACGTTACAAGCCGTGCTTCGGATGCTTTCACTTTCGATTTCACGATCTTGTC